TCGTCTGTCATAAAAAGAGTATATTAAAAAAGACTGGATGCTATGACTATTTAGCTATAATATCAACAAGCTTTGATAAACTATCCGATATTTTAGAGACCTATTATTAATATTACTTAACTAAAATGGAGCTTAATTTCAAACATTAAGTTTAATGAAAAGTACGTGTCAGTACCACAATTCAGTGTCGAAATCTGGAAGTGGCAATCGGATCAAGCATTCGTATAGCCTTATTAATCGTGATTCTGAAAATGTTTTAAGCCGAAGCACAAATTAGAGTCAATCCCGGGGTTAAAAACTCACGCATGCGCTTTAGACCTGGACCTTAACAATACCAAGCAAACGAGTGGTAACTTGGTCTTGTAATCCGGGAGACGTAGTAGAACACACCTAGTCCAAAGTCCTCTGCCGTAGTAGTTATCATCAGATCCAGCATCAGACAGTTGACTTGGCACATTTTCAAACGTTTCGCCGGCATCATCAGTGAGTGCTGCCATCCTCCGCACCAAACTGCGAACTCGTCAAAGAGACAAGTGAAATCAATCCTTTCACCAACGATCTGCCCAAAACGGTTATACTATCACTCCTCTTTCTGTCCTGACCTATCTATCTACTTGCCAAAATAACGGCAAACATTTTGACGAGTGGAATGTAAAGAAATGAGAAGCTGTGATAGGACGGGAGTTTGATAAGAGGTTAGATAGTAGATAGATAGGCCATGAAAGAAAGAGGAGTGATACTGTAACCGTTTTCGGCAGAACTTTGGTGAAAGGATTGACTTCACTTATCTCTTTTAGGCGAAGAATGGCAGCACTCACTGATGATTCCGACTACGATGCGGGCGAAACGTTTGAGAATGTACCAAGTCCAATGTCTGATGCTGGGAATTATGATAACTACTATGGCAGAGGACTTTAGACTTGATGCATTCTACTAAGCCTCCCGAACAACAAGACCAAGTTGAGACCACGAAGTCAATCAACTTCTACAAATCGAAAGGAGACTGCGACCATACCGGAGGCCACACTATCTTAGTCTTCATATCTTAGATTACCAAGTAAAGTTAGTACCAAAGTATAGTCTTGGTTTGACCTCGTTTACGCAATTTGATCGCAGCGACAGATAAACCTTGTGGCATGTACCTAGTTCTGAGCCCTTCGCCATCGAATTCGTTATTCCCAGCATCAGGTCATTGACTATACGTAATCCGAGACGTTTCACTGGTATCGTCAGTGAGGGGTGCCATCGTTAGCACAAAATTACATAATTGATTTTGATAAGTTGTAACCCTGTGCTAACAATGTCGCCCCTCACTGACGATGCCAACTACGATGCCAGCGAAAGGTCTGGGAATGTACCAAGTCAAAAGACCGATGCCGGAAACCACAAATACTATGGCAGAGGACACAAGACTAGGTATCTTCCACAGGGTCTCATTGTCGCTCTGACCAAGTTGTGAATACGACGTCAAAACAACACTAACAATCAAAGTGCAAATTAGCATTCGTTCCTACTACAAGAATTAGGCTTATCTTAAGTTGCATGTGTAGATGAAAGGTCTGGCTTACTGATACCACTCCAACTAAAATATGAATTAAGAAATACCTGACCTGCCAATATAAGCCGCGTTTTCCCTGTACTAACAGTGTTAATTATACATCTGATATTTTCTAACTACCTACTATAATCGTAGGTATGAAGATCAATATGTTGTGCCCTCTTTTTGGTCGCAGTCTCCATTAGCTACATAAAATGGGTTTGGCCTTGTTTTCGCTAATTGGTCGTGTCGTCAGGGCGATACGGTTGATCCCACCTCGAAGGAAGTCCTCTGCTATAACGGTTAGGATAATTCATAGCGTCGGACCGTGGAGTGAGACTAATCTATTTTAACTCACCATTTCTGTTGAAGACAAATGACAAG